CTATAACCGACAAACCGTTAATCAAACCCTTGAATTTTAAAGTTTGTGGTGAGAACTGACCCGTGAGAGCTTGGGTTGAGAGTTGAAAGTAAGTGTCAGCGAGGTCTAAGAGTGGTTCCTGTTCGGTTTCTTGACTGTTTGGGGCTGACTCGTCTGTAGGAGGATCTTCCTCAGCCAAAAGAATTAGGAATCTGTTTGTGGCACATCTATGGCCTGGAATAAATTTTTCGTCGCAATTGAAGCACAGGCCCAATGCCCGCCTCTCCTGTATTTGGGCCTGGGACAAACGTTTGATAGGCAATTTAGAGGGTATAGCATTTGGTGGTGTAGACGTGATTTGGGCCTTTGGGGTGTTGTGGACTTGGGGTGTGGGCTGAGTAGTGGGTTTGGAATAGTAGGGTGAGGGTTGTTTGAAGGGTTTGGGTTTGGAGTCTTTGAGCTTAGCTTCGATGAGTTTGGCCAGTCCTATGGCTTGTGAAATAGAAGTGGGGCGATGAATTGCCATTTCACTTTGAATTTCCTGCGACAATCCAGAGATGAAACAGTTTAAGATTGCTTCCGGCGGAAGCCCAACCACTTGGTTACCGAGTTTTTCAAATTTGGTTTGATATTCCACAATCGTGCCATCCTGTTTGAGTTTGAACAACTCAGCTTGGTGATTATCATAAGTTGAAGGGCCAAAACGTAATTCCAAAGCCCTTGTAAACGAGACCCAATCAGTTAGTAAATGACTATGATGCATCCATTTAAACCAACCTAAAGCATCCCCTTTCATATAAAAAGAGATAAGAGTTAAACGATTTTCTGGTGGTAGGTTATAAAATGAAAAAAATTGGTCAGCTTGAAAAAGCCATTCCAAAGGGTTAGTGCCATCAAACATGGCAAGTTCCAGCTTGGGAGTTCGGTATTGTGGCAATGGGGGAATTTGGGTGTAGGAGTTTTGGGGGAAAATATGGGGAATGTGGGGTGGGTTTGAAAGGAATGTATGTGGGGAAGAGAGGAAAGCATGCTGGAATGTGGTTTGGGGCATGGTCGAAACGGTTCTTGGTGGTAGATTAAAATTAGACGGCTGGGGTAAGGTAGAGAACACGGTTGCCGTTCTTAAAGGAGTGTTTGTAGGGGTGCTCTGATGATGGGTAATGTGTGGGGGGTTTTGGGTAACACCAGACGAGCTTGCTGGAGAGTTTGAGATAATGGGTGATGAATCTTTTTGAATGACTAGCTTGTTAATGGAGGACATGAGGGTTTCAAATCTTGAATCAGCAAGTAGTTTTTCATTGTCAAACCGAGTGTGTATTTGGCTAATTTGCCGCTCCAAATCAGCAGTAGCTTGGTCAAAACGTTCGTCCATCTGTTGTTGTGTTTGTGCCATCGCATTGTCTAGATGAATGTGAGCTGTTTGAACAGCTTCTTCAACAATATCTTTAGGGTTTTGTGATTTTGTGGGAGCCATGAGAGCAAGAGATGAAAGCACCAATTGTTAAGATTAAAAACCTACGATACTACCATAAATCAGAATTGCATTAAAAGACAACAAGATAACAACTTTAATTTTTCATACCCTAAGAATATCCCCATACAAGATATTTATAGCTAGGGTTACAGTATTTTAAATGGGCCTAAGACAACTGACCCCCTTAAACAACATAAAACATACTAAATACACCCTTAGTTGGTGATAAAATCCTTAAGTAAATGGATTGACTTTTATCTTAATTATTTATGAATGATTGTGATTCACTTTCTTGTAAAATATTTTATCCTTATAGTTTAATATCATATAATAAATAGGGATTTGGATCCTTTTATTTTTTATATATTATGTCATCTGTTTCTAATCTAACGATTCAGAATTTATAATAAATAATTAAATAAAAAAAGTCATTTAATAGGAGAGAAAATTGATAAGTAATTTGTCTTTGTTTTTTTATTTAATTATTCATTGTAAATTCTGAACCGTTAAATTAAAAACATGATAGATGGTATGATATATAAAAAAGGAAAGAATCCAAATTCAATAAATAGATAGAATGTTGAGATTAATTATTATGTATTATACGGTCAATTTTACATTTTTAATTTATCATCATCATTCATCTGTTATTTTATATTTTATAGATAGTTAAAATAAAAATCAAACCTCTTGTAACATATAATAGTATAAATAGTATTAAATTTGTCAATCAATTGTCATATTCTATCAAGTTGTAAATAATATTAAATTTGTCAATCAATTGTCATATTCTGTCAGGTCAGTAACTTTTAAGTTATTAATATGACATTAGTGAGTAATGAATTTCTATTGGAGCATCTTTAATGGGAACAATTAAATTGGATGAACTAAATTATTTTATGTGGGTCCAAATTGACATGAAGGATTTAAGCCATTCAAAATTGAATTAAGAAGTTTTTACTTCAAATTGTTTATAAGGAATTCAAACTTGGTATTAAATAGTTAATAAAAATCTATTATTTATGTTAAATAATTAATAAAAATCTATTATTTATGTTAAATATTGAGTTATAGTACGTTGCTTGTGTAGAGCACGTAAACTAGTTTTAGAGCATCCCATATGCCATGTCAGCTCTACTATAATCCAAATTTTTTATTACTAAAGTTGCTCATAGATAACACTGATTAAATTAATATTTTAAAACTCAGATCGTTCCGATCGATTGGACCGATTAGACTATAATTTGAAAGGTAGAGCGGTTTGTTAAGGTCATTAGATCATAGTTTCAATTGACCCAATGAAAATTAATGTGACCTGACTGTTCATTGATCAAACTAATGAACTAATGACCTGATTTTATTAATATTTTTAATTATTTATAATAACTAAATAATGTTAAAATTACAAAAATGAAATTTCGTCAAATTTTATTAGGATTATAATTTTATCAAATGCACCATAAATTTTTTTAATATTTTATTTAGTTAAAGAAAAGATAATTATATATAATTACAACATTTTTTAATTCATTTTCATTAAATATATATATTATTAATCAATATTAATATAATAAATTTAAAAGGTTAAAAAATTAATTATAGATATAATCGTACTATAAATTAACAAAAGAGTTGAAAATAATCATGTTACCAAGAAAATGAAATTATACATTTACATTATTTTTAGTATAAATCTTGTTTTCTGAAGAAAAAAAATATATGTTAACTGAAATTAATTTTCACATTATTTTTTATTTTTCTATTCAATCTTTTATCTTTAACCATTTATATAGAGTTTTATATTTGTTTATATTATATATTAGTTTATTAGTTTATAGTTTTATTATATCATACAATTATTTTTATAAATTTTATAAATTTATAAACATCAATAAATTGTTCTATTTGGAAGTTAAAAATTTTATTTAAAATTTTAATTTTTTTAATTATCTTTTATCTTTAACCATTTATATAGAGTTTTATATTTGTTTATATTATATATTAGTTTATTAGTTTATAGTTTTATTATATCATACAATTATTTTTATAAATTTTATAAATTTATAAACATCAATAAATTGTTCTATTTGGAAGTTAAAATTTTTATTTGAAATTGTAATGTGAATGTTGTTGTCCTGAGCAAAGACGCACAAGCATGACCGACTCAACTTCTCACGCACTATTATACTTAGTTTTTGGTGTAGCTTTTTTTTATACCAAATTTACTTTTATTTTAAAATATATAACTTACACAATAACTTTCATTAAACTACTACTATCATCTTTCATATAATTCTCTACTAATAATTTCCTACATAACTTCCATATAAAATTAATATTAAATAAAAATATATCATTTATATTTATATGTGTGCAATAAAAAAGCGGACAGACGGACACGCGAGTACTCGTCTGGACGCTAGTAATTATAAATATAAAATTATATTACAAAATTATTTATAAATATATTTTTAATTGAATTTAATTGGTATGTTAACCAATCATCTTCATGTATTTTGCCACATCAGATTTTAAATTTTAAGTTAATGGCATGAAATAGTAAATTGATAAATTTCTATTGTATGACAATATAAAAATATTTTATACTGTCAGTACATATTGATTAAAATCTTTAATTTGTATAAGAGTTTGAATTTAATTGAAATAAAATGTCAATGTAAAAAGATTTTACAGTGTCATTTAATTATAGACGTTGGATGTTACGAAAAATTTAACTTTTATTTTAATTATTTATAAAATAATTCAAACGGATAATGATTATGAATTAAATGTGTAAAAAAATTTATAATGATAATACATATTTATTAATCTTTAAAAGTTTAATTTGTTTATACTGTCATTTAATAAAAATATATTAATTTATCACATATAATATATAATAATTAACTTAAAATATAGAGTTTGATGTGTATCGTAAAATCAATGGATACCAATTAAATTGTTTGTATAAACTAAATTAGAACTTAATCTTAACAATAACTCACAATAACTTGATCATGTCGATTTTAAAACATTGAATTAAACTCTAAAAAGAAAACATAAGTTTTTGAAATCTTCGTCTCTAATTAATGAATTACTATTAGATACTTTTATTAAAGCATAAAAAGAAATAATTCTCTGAAACCTTCGTGGCTTAGTAGTCTCGCTCGCCGTCGCCGCTCACAGTTTTCTTCCCTGGTCGCCGTCCACCGCTCACCAACCACCTCCGTCTGCTCATTAGTTGTCGTCTGCTTTAAGGTTAAGGTTAGCTTCTCTTTCTTTATGGAATAATAAGAAGGTTCGATTCAGTGAAAAAGAAATTAGAGATTCGATTTAAAAATTTAGGGTCCAATTTTTTTTATTTGCTTTCGTAGTTTATTTCATTTTGCTTTTTGTTTTGGTTAATTGCGAAATTGAAACTGTAATTTATGTTTAGTTTCATCAAATTGATATCATAATTTTGTGGAAACGATCGCAATTGAAGCCGTTTCATGAATGGTAGTCCAGGCTTGCTAAGTTTGGAAGTTCCGATCCGAGGAGGGTTTGAATGTCGACGAAAGCGGAGGCAACGATGAAGATGAAGAAGGTTCAGTGGTTCTGGACTTGGGTGATCGGTTCCGTTATTTTGAGACTGATTCTGGTTTACTTCCCCAAAAACCTTAACCTCTCTTCTCGCCCGGAAATTTCGACCCCTCTCACTAGCATTCGTCGTCTTGCCGAGGGTTACTGGTTGAAGCAATCATCAATGTCACCCTATGCAGGATCAATGTACCATGGTTCTCCTTTGTTGTTGACAGTTCTTGGACCACTAACTGTTGCGAAGATTGAAGGACAACCGGATCATCTTTTATGCAGCTTGGTTTTTGTGATGGCGGATGTTGTCACTGCAATGCTGATTTGTGCTGCTGGTAAAAAACTTCAAGTGGCGTATGGTTCAAGTTTACGATCTGTTGGCCTTTGTCAGTTATCAGAGGATTCAGATGTTTTTCTTTCAGGAGAGTTTGCTGCTCTTGTATACTTGTGGAATCCTTTTACGATTGTTGCATGTGTTGGTCTATCAACTTCTGTAATCGAGAACTTGATGGTTGTGTTAACCCTTTATGGAGCATGCGCACGGGTAGCTCCGTTGGCTGCTTTTGGGTGGGTCATAGCTACTCATTTGTCTCTGTACCCGGCAATCCTTATTATCCCAGTAATACTGTTATTTGGTTATGGCCTTGATGCTCCCCCCAGGAAATTATTCCGGCAAAGAAAAAATCTTGAAGTTGATGATTCCACCTCAAGCGCGGTTAAAGTATTCTCATGGAGGCCGGTCGTGCTTTTTTTGTTCTGGGCTTTGCTGTGGTCATCCTACGTTTTAATCCTCTGTGGCATTTCTGTCCAACAGCACGGTGGTCTACAGGAGATGTTCAAAAGATCCTATGGATTCATTCTTACCATACAAGATTTGTCTCCAAACATTGGAGTTTTTTGGTACTTCTTCGCAGAAGTTTTTGACTTCTTCAGAAGTTTCTTCCTTATAGTATTCCATGGGAATATTCTATTATTGATAGTGCCATTAGCCATACGTCTTAATCACCGGCCTTGCTTTCTAGCTTTTGTATACACTGTGCTTTCTTCCATACTCAAGTCTTATCCTTCTGTTGGTGATTCTGCTTTGTACTTGGGTTTATTGGGCTTATTTGCGTATGAACTCAAAGATATGCAGTATTCATTCTTCCTGTTTTTTGGTTATGTCGGGGTTTCACTTTTTAGCCCTGTGATGCACAACTTATGGATATGGAGGGGTACCGGCAATGCAAACTTTTACTTTGCTACTGCAATTGGTTATGCTTTCTTGCAGATCATTCTGGTAATTGAAAGTGTAAGCGCCATGCTTAATCATGACAGAATGCTTACAAAGTTATCTACTGCAAAGCTTCAAAATGTCAAATCTTGAGGGCTTCTCTTGAAATATGATTTCAATGCATCTAAAGTTTCTGTGGTGTCCCTGAGTTCACTTGATCTTGATCAATATGTATTGCTTTGAATGCAAAGATTTGTAGTATTTGAACACAAGACTCTACAGGGGATGCTGGACTGGTTGCCAGTAACAAAAGTAGAATTTGTCATAAGGATAAACTTTCATGATTACTTTGTTAAGGTGGTTAGAAGTTAGAACTTTTCTTGATGGGCCATTTAAGATGTTTAGGTGGCTTCATTCTTCAAATCACAGTACTACACATGTTTATTTGTTTGTACGTTCCAAAAACAAAATCATAATTTTGTAGTATTTGATTAATGGATTTGGAGAATGGAGAGATACAAATCCGACACTGTTGTATCAGGTTTCAATACTCATGTTGGTAATGATTGTGAAAAAATATATATATTTTTGACATGTTAGTTTGCTATTGATGGACTTCAATACTCTTGTATGATACTTTCATTATTCATTCATTTTGAATAAGAGCTTCATTTCATAATATGAATCCTTTTCTTCTCATTGCTTTGAATTTTGATCTGTTTCTTTTAGAAGTTAAATGTGTGTGGAGTTAGGAGGAGGGATTGATTATTCTATGGCACTCTCAGTCATCATCACTTAAAATACGATGGTTGTTGTTTAAAATAGATTATAGTGAAGTTATGACTTGTATATTAGAACTTGAACAAATCGCTTCCTACAGGTTTGAAGCAAGAAACTTGACCATGGAACAAGAAGATCAACAGCTTCCTACTTGAACAAAGTTTGTTAATTTTGTAATTGACCATGACATTTACTATCAAAACTCAAGAAAACAAAAAACAAACACAAATTGATTGTGTGTTTGTATCTTGATAACATGATAATACATTATGAAATTTTACATGTGTAACATTTAGAAACAAAATTATAGATAAATTTTCGCCACTACTATTTTGATTTTGCTATCGAAAACTAATCATCTGTGGCGAAGTAACGATCACCAAACTCGCCTAATCCAGGAATCACACGAGAACTTTCACTTAGGGTTGCATCAATCTCTGATGTTACAAGTTTCATCAATGGAAATCTCTCACAAACTGCATTTATTCCTTGTGGTGCCTACATCATACATGAAATTTACATTTAGTTAGATGTATAATACTATAGTGCAAGAAATTCAAAAGTGCATAAGCATAATTCATTGTGACTCACTGCTATTAAATTTAGAAAGATGATGTTTGATTCTAATACACCTTTTTTTAAAAGTAGAGAGATGGCTTTCACTGCAGAACTTCCTGACAATAATTACAATTATTTGATATGATTAGACATGAAATATAGAGAGTTAATTATGTTAATATAGTTTGTTAAACCTGTAGCTAGAACAGGATCAAGTAGCAACACATGACGACTTGCAATATCTGATGGTAGCTTCTCATAGATTAACTGCATCACATTGTCACATTATGAGATAATCACTTTGATTAAGTGCTTAATTAACTTCTTATGTATATACTGTTTTTATAACAAAAAATCATATAAAGTCAACTAGTTAGAATTTTTTTAAAAAGCAAATAAATATACATTTAATGTCAAAGTACAAAATAAAAATTTCAAGAAGGGACAAGTAATACCTAACCGCCAACAATACAAAAATAAAAATGTCGTAAAACAAACTGCAAGACCAACGAAATACAAGTGAAAGAAAACATAACCACCAAAATAAGTGAGAAGAAACACAGCCCCATACAAAGAAAAAATAAAACCCAAAGCAAGGTAAAGCGAAAGCGCCAAACAGAGAATAGGTTAGAGCTCTCCAAACAAGAACCAACGAAGAACAATACCATTTCGTCGAGTACAACAAGAATACACTAAAGGAAGGAAGAAGACACTCACACCGTTATTGATTCAAATGTAGGATAGGATTCAAGTCATACTGAAAAGACACAAGAGTTATTCACAGTCTTACCAATATACCATTTCTAAGCTAAAAAACACTCAAGTATTCTATGTCCTTAGTTGTCACTAATTTAAACGGAAAACTATATAATTTAAAGATTTCCAAATCAACCAAATTGCAGCATGCTAAATCATAAACAGTCACTTTTAAATCTAGACAAACCATAAAGCGAAGAGAACATCTAAACGAGGGTTGAGGAATCTCTAGATAAAACTACGCTCCAATTCAATCACCTGAAAATTTTATACCAGACAACCCTTACTACCTCACAAATCACAAAAAGATGAGAGAACGACTTAAGGGTCTCCGAATAGATAGGGCAATAGGCACTCCTACTGGCTAGGGTGATCCCCCTCATAAGAAGGTTATCTATAGCAGGAATGCGGCCCTGCATGATATGTTAGGAGAAAACAATCATTTTAGAGGGGACCCAGATCCTTCATATTTTAAAAAGAACCAATTCCACAAACGAGACCTGACGATCTATAAGCAACTCCCAAATGAGAAGGAAAGAGTATGCGGATGACACAAATTAAGAACCATATTTAGAAAAGTGTCATCATCACTTGTTTGGCTGAGGGGAAAGACTAAAGTCCATAATCACCAAGAGAAGATCAATTATAAACACCTGATCATGCCCAAAGGTACGAACTCTTTTCCACTTAAGGTAAAAAGCCCACAGCTGAATCTCCCACCTACCCACCTCTCCCACTAGACAATCTTTCTCTCAGAGATAGAAAAAAGCCTAGGAAACCTAACTCTAATAAAAGTATCCCCAACCTAAGGATCGCTCCAGAACAAAGTGGGAAGACTTATAGATCCGAATTTCTTAAGCATATTATCCCAACTAAGGGATCCTCCCATTTGATTTCTAGAAGGGACACCCCTCTCCATCGACACTGGTCGAAGACACCCAGCTCCCCCTCTCAAGATAGAAGAGATCGAAAATGCTCTATATTTAGTAGATAAAAGATCCTTCCAAATGCCCGTAGAATCTCAGATCAACCGTCACCTTCACTTATTAAAAATGACCAAGTTAACCACTCGAAAGTCGCGGACCCCAAGACCTCCAAGATTCTTGGGCTTGCACACATCATACCACGTAACCCAGGCAGTCTTAGAACCCCCTCTAACTCTATCCCAAAGAAATAGCGTTTGAATTTTCACAATCTTCTTCCAAACTTTAACAAAGAACTTTAAGAAGGACAAATAGAAGATAAGAATAATATTAAAGACAAAATTGAGAATGATCACTTCTCCTCCCAAAGACACATATCTATGCCACCACGAGTGGATCCGTCTAAAAATTTAAATTGTTTTCGTAGTCGTCTTCAAGAGATTTATAAAAATAAAATGATAACAAGTTATGATTATGTCATAAATTGTGTTTAAAAATTCTATAAAATTATTTCGGAAGTGTTTATGTTTTTTGGTATCAACCAGATATCATGTGCACACAACAAAAATTAGGGTTGGATTCAAACTCAGACTTTTAATTAATCTAAAAGAGATCTTGTCATTTCATTTCAATGTTCTCATATCAGAAGTGCTTATGTTAATAGATAAACTTGATTAAATAACCACCAAGCTGATCCTTAATTTAGAAGAATAAGAAAAAGCAATGTATTGGCATCCACAAACCTGTCTTCCATCTGTGCCTTGTCCAAGAATAAGTATTTTACCAATTTTGATTCCTTTACAACATGCTCTCAATGCATTTTCCATGCTTTCTCCACTAAGATCAATTCAAATAAAAACAGTTAGTAAATATGTATAATATGCTTCATCCACCTCAAAATTTAAAGGGTATGCATTTCTAGTATTAAGCCCTAAAACAAAATGTACCTTCTAATAACTGATACACCACATAATCTGCTACAAAAAATCACACCAGAGTATACAGATCCTACATTCATAAGAAAAAAAATATATGAATTCTTCTAAAAAATATATATTTTCTTTTACATTATTTCTAGAGTTAACAATTTCTTTAAGAAATGCATGGTTGTTAAAAAATAATTACCTGTTGGTGTTGTCACTTGTTTTTCTGTAAAAGGAAGGTGACCAAGTCCATGTTCAACAACCTAAAAAAATAAATAAAAATTCATCATGCTTCAATATTTATTTATGATAATTTTTAACATTATTTTTATTTACACTATAAAACTTGTTTACCAATCTAATCAGACGATCAGAATAAAATACAAAATCATGTTTTGTAGTTCCAACGTCACGGATTAGAGTATGCATTCCCTTTATCTGTATACAAAAATAATATGAAGAGTGAAAATAGTATAAAAATGCATTTAAATTTAATTTATTTTATATAAAATATATTATGAAACTGAGAAATATTTACCTGAAAAGTAGAAAAAATGACAAAAATATTTGGATATATTTTACACAAATCATGTTGACCAAGCTTTGTCCGAATATTTTGAATTATCAAATCAATAGCAACATCATTATCTCCTCCACCAGGTATGATAATATCAGAATATTTTTTTGTTGGAAGAACAAAATCTTCAAAACTAGGTTTTACAAATCTGCAATACTGAATATTTATTTTTTAATTATTAGTTCTTAAACAACTTTGAATGACAATGCATTAGGCTTAATCATATATATAATTAACTAACTTGGTCTAGAACATTTTGAATGTTTCTCCCATGTTCAATGGTGAGACGTTGAATCCTTCGCGCAAGTCGAATATCAGAATCTGCATTACTTAAACCATAATAGTGTTTGTAAGTATGTCAATATGAACAAGAAAGAAAATTAATTATGATTAATTAAACCAACCTTCGTCAACAAAGATCTTCATGTTCAAAAGATCGCGAACACGAGAATCGTGAAGAACTAGTATTCCTTCTAAAACTATGATGTCCGCAGGGTGAACCTACAAGACACCAAAATTTTTTTGTATATTGAACTAATACTTTTATGAAATATTCGTGATTTTTGAAATGTAGATTAGAACCTGACGTGGAGGTTCGATTCTCTTACGAGTACTGATATTATAATTCGGTATAGAAGCCGTTTGTCCATGTTTTAACTTTTCCATACTAGAAAGCATAAGCTCTATATCAAATGCATCTGAAAATTAAGGAAGGAATATGAATTATTATTCTAATCTAGTTGATTAGGGTTTTCAAAATAATTATGCATCTAATTATGTACTCACCGGGATGATCAAAGTTATAGTCATTAACATTTTGTAGTATATCATCACTCAATGAGTGGTAAAATGAGTCCTACAAAATCATTTGTAAAAATATTAGAATAATTTGTAACCTAGTAAACTATAATTCGTTCGAATATTAATACGGAACTACAGTCATAGTCATTCTGTAATCGCCGACGTAGACACACTTGATCGATTTACATAAACAAAATATCGTATTTATTATCTCACATTCGTAACATGATTCAACTTCAAACCCTAATGATTATGGAGAATTAATTACTTGATTAATGAGGACAATACGTTGATCATGAAGCTGGCTGTTTATCAAGTTGCATACAGTTGTTTTCCCAGATGCAGTTCCACCAGCAACACCTGAAAATTTTTAACTTTTTTAAAATTAAAAAGTAGTGTAAAAAATTATTAAAAAACATAATAATAATAATTATTGACAAAATTATAATTTGTTACCAATGAAGAAAGGTTGTTTGGGAGATGGTGGAGCTTTGGAGGTATATTGGAGATAAAGCTTATCCTTAATGTCAAGATTCAATGCTTTTTCTTTCCCAGAATTATTCATCTCTTTTATTTACTATCTATAAATCTATGATTTTTGTAATTAATATACACATAACACTTTCATCTATGATTGAGATCAAAATAGCCTAACACATATGGTAAAGATGAATTACACACCTTTTTTTTCTGCTTGTGTTTTGGAAAATTAGTTAGTGTTTTAGTATTAATTTGTTTAGTTTAATTAATTAATTAGTTAATTCATTCATCAATTTGTGTTGTTGGCTATTAGTTTCTATTTTTAGTATAGTTATATAAAACATGAACTAAATGATTCATTTGTATGTTCAAGTGTTGCATGATGATGGATACAATAAAGTATATATAGAAACATGGTTATACATTGAACACACTTATAAAAAAAATATATCTCATACCAAATGTAGCAAGATTGTTTACTTTAATTTTAAGAAAATATTGGTTTATCTTATTGTGTATGTAATTCATAGTTAAGTGGAATTTATTTGTGTGTCAAGTTAGATACTTGCAACACAAGTCAATTCAAAGTTGTTAAGCTTGGGTAGTTAGTTTATATATATATATATATATATATATATATATATATATATATATATATATATATATATATATATATATATATATATATATATATATATATATATATATATATATATATATATATATATATATATATATATATATATATATATATATATATATATATATATATATATATATATATATATATATATATATATATATATATATATATATATATATATATATATATATATATATATATATATATATATATATATATATATATATATATATATATATATATATATATATATATATATATATGGGAGCATATCAAATGAGAGTGATTTTAAATGAGAGATGAAAGTAACAAACAACAACCATTAGATCAAATTAATAAGAGAGATGAATTCAAATTAATAAGAGAGAGAAATTAATAGTTACATTAATAAATAAGTTTAATCATGATCTAATGGTTGTTATTTGTTCCTCTCATCTCTCATTTTAAAATCTCTCTCACTTAATATGCCATATATATATATATATATATATATATATATATATATATATATATATATATATATATATATATATATATATATATATATATATATATATATATATATATATATATATATATATATATATATATATATATATATATATATATATATATATATATATATATATATATATATATATATATATAAAATTCATTTTGTTAGTCATTCTATCAATATATGTTTCACAAAATTTACTTGCGTTAGTGTTATTCTCTCATCTTTTTATTGCTATTCAAATCTCTTTCCTTGCAAGTTATCCTAATAATCCAATATACTAGTATCATAAAGAATTAGTTTGATTAACCTTTCGTCAAAGGTGAAAGAAAGTACAATCTCAAACTAATTCCCAACAAATATACACGGAAATGAGAGTCATATTTAAAATTTAAGATGTTTTTGAAATAATAAATGATAAATTAATTGAATTGGAAGTCAATGCAATTGATGCGTACACTAATAAAATGCTTGATTAGCCAAGGGGCATTTGCGAGGTGAAAAACCTTCACTAAATATCTATTTCTTTTTAGGGTTTATTCCCTCATAATGCACAAAATAAAAAACAAAATTAGTGAAGTGAAAATCACGTGATTTAGTGAAGTGAAAATCAGGTGGCAAAATATTGACAGTTGTGAAGTGATTTTCACGTCACTAACCTGTTTAATATTAAAATAATATGAAGCAAATATAGCACATGGCCTGTCAGATTTAAAAATTAAAAAAAATGTTAGTGACGTGAAAATCACGTCGCAACATGTAAATTAAAAAAAATAATAACTAAAACGACAGATCTATTGAAGCGGGAAGGGGGAAATTTTTAAAATTTGGTTTGCCACGTGATTATCACGTCGCAACCATTTAAGAGGGAAAAATATCTGATTTAGAAGTGATGGTTGATTGTGCTACAGGTTGTAAAAATGACCGTTGAAACTTTTGTGACGTGAATATCACGTGGCAAAGTTGCGAAGTGATATTCACGTCACTAACCAATTAATGTGAATAATTAATTATTAGCCGTTATATGTTGCGAAGTGAATTTCACGTGGCAAATTTGCGAAGTGAAATTCACGTCACTAATATTTTATTTATGGCACGCGTGAAAATTTCTGAGACCACATGTATTACACTTCTTTTTCTTTCTCTCTCAGTTGCCTTCTTCTTCTTCTTCTACCATTTTCTTCTCCTAATTTGTTCATCTTCTTCCCAAAATTTTCTTTGTTTTTCTCAAGTTGTTTCTTGATTTTCCTTGTACAGGTAATATATTTTTTCTTTCATTAGTTATTGTTGAATTTTGTTTTTATTAATTTAGTTTAAAATGTCATTTTATATGGGTTTAATATTTGATTTTTTTGTTGTCAAATTATCATTGTTAGTGAGAAAAGGAAACAAGAAGGAGGTTGAAGAAGATTGAAGTAGTGTGAAGGAGAGGTATTTTTGCTATTTTATTTTTTATTTTAGTTTGATTTAATAATGTTGGATTGTTGTTAATATTTTTTTGTATGTTTATATTATTATTATTATTTATTATTAAAAAACGAATTTTGTAGAAACATTATTAACAATAAAACAAATTTTTGTTTATAAATGAGAGAAGTGAGAAAAGGAAAGAAATTTTTATATACAGTAACAATATTAAAAATTGAATATTTATAGAAAACTGAATATTAAAAAAGAATTTTGTAAAAATATTATCAACAATAAAACGAATTTTTGTTTATAAATGAGAGGAGTGAGAAAAGGAAAGAAATTTTTATATATAGTAATAATATTAAAAACTGAATATTAATAATATTTTTAATTTTTATGTGTTATTAAATTCATTTATGTTTAGTTACTTTAAAAACTAAATATTAAAAACTAAATATCTTATTTTTAATCTTTTATAGAAATAATATTATATTTATATTATTATTAATATTTGTTATTAAAAACAGATTTGTGTTATTAAAAATAGAATAATATATTTAGAAAAAAAATATTAAAAACAGAAATATATTATTTTTAATGTTTTATTTATTTTTTAATTATAAAATATTAAAAACAGAATATTAAATTTATTTTTAATTTTTTATTATTTTAATATTTATGTGTACTAAAACCAAATTTTTATATATAGTAACAATATTAAAAACTGAATATTAACAATATTTTTAATTTTTATGTGTTATTAAATTCATTTATATTTTATTACTTTAAAAACTGAATATTAAAAACTAAATATCTTATTTTTAATCTTTTATAGAAATAATATTATATTTATATTATTATTATTATTATTATTATTATTATTATTATTATTATTTGTTATTAAAAACAGATTTTTGTTATTAATTAGAAATAGAATAATATATTTAGAAATAAAATATTAAAAACAGAAATATATTATTTTTAATGTTTTATTTAGTTTTTGGTTATAAACTATTAAAAACAGAATATTAATAAAATATAAAAACAGAATATTAAATTTATTTTTAATGTTTTATTATTTTAATATTTAGGTGTACTAAAAACAAATTTTTATATATAGTAACAATATTAAAAACTGAATATTAACAATATTTTTAATTTTTATGTGTTATTAAATTTATTTATATTTTATTACTTTAAAAACTAAATATTAAAAACCAAATATCTTATATTTAATGTTTTATAGAAACAATATTATATTTATATTATTATTATTATTTGTTATTAAAAACAGATTTTTGTTATTAAAAACTAAATATTAAAAACCAAATATCTTATATTATTATTATTATTTGTTATTAAAAACAGATTTTTGACCCCCGAGATGCTAGAAACGGTAAGACAACTGGCGCTAAGTGAAGCGAGACGCGAAACGGCAACGCAAATGGAGGAGCAACAACGTCAGATAGAGGCAATGAATAAGAGGCAAGCTGAAATGGAGGCGATGATGCGCCAATTTATGCAATCGCAAGGTGGCGGTAATCCAGTTGTTGGAAATGAAGAAGTGGGTGGTCGACAACAGTTGGATGACGAAGATAACAATGATTTTGACATTGATAGTTTTCCCGATCCAGATTGATCCGAATCATTTATTGTAATTTTAAATTTTTATTTTTGTAAAATATTAATTACATTTTAGTATATTATACACTTTTTATTTAAAAAAATTATTCTTAATTTTGATATTTATTTATATTTATTAATTTTTCTTATTTATATTTATTAATTTTCCAATTTAAATTATTATTAAAAATAAATTGTATTTATTAAATTGAGTGGACAAACTATAATTATAATTTTAAATATAAATTAATTTTAAACATACCAAAAAATTAATTAATTTTAAAAAACTAAAAAAAACTCTTAGACGCGTGATATTCTCGTCACAAGTTGTGAAGTGAAAATCACTTCGCAAGTTGTGAAGTGAAAATCACTTCGCAAGTTGTGAAGTGAAAATCACTTCGCAAGTTGTGAAGTGAAAATCACGTCACAAGTTGTGAAGTGAAAATCACGTCACAACTTTCTTACACACCTGCTACGCCTGCTGGGGCTGAAATATTGTTTTATTTGTTGCGACGTGAAAATCACGTGGCAAAGTTGTGACGTGATTTTCACGTGGCAACAAAGTTGCCACACGTCCTCCTGCCACGTGATTGGTCACGTCGCTAATATCAGTTTGTGAAGTGATTTTCCTTGTTGTGAAGTGAATTTCACGTGGCAGGATCCAGTTTTTTTTTGTAGTGGGGCCAACCCCTTGCAAATGTTAAGGACGAAGATTTTGAATTTTAAAATTGACTATTTGTGAGTGGACATCCATAGCTAATTGTTTCAGTAACTATTACGAGGGGCAACCCCGCTGAGATTTTGAGATCAGTCTGCCACTTGTCCCATCATAACTACCTTGTGTCAGTCGCTTTAATAAAGATATTTACATTTGCGGAGGGCACCCCTAACCATTTATTTTCGTTGCATTTGC